TTATTTTGCTTCGGAACCTGGCCGGCGAATCCGACCGGTCGTTTCAGCTTCAGAGGAAAGTTTTAGTTTTTATTAGGCAGATCCAGCTAAGGTACTTGTCTACATTCGTCGACTTACTTTGATTGGGGTTTCTGCTCTTTGTTAAGATCGTTCTTTTGCTATTTTCTTTTTCGATTTCTTGCATTTCGGTGATCAACAAGCACCATTTTACACATTGTGTAGTTTATATTGTTAACTATCACAGATCCATTTGGGTTTGTTGACTCCTTCAAACTGTACAATTATTCCTCATAGGATTGCTTATTTGATTTCATTGAAAAAACAGTCGTCATTTGTCTCTCTCTTAGTCAACTTACATTATATTAATTGGTTGAAGAAAGTGTTTCGTAATCATTCTTGAACAGGGTTTGATCTCATTAGATATTTTAGATCCCAAGAGAAAGAGCTAAGCTTTTTTAATATTTGATAGCTGCAGGTTCCCACATTGAACAGCCATACCATTCGTCGAGATCACAACACTCAGTCTCTGAGTTTAAGCAAGCTTCACTATTGAGTAATGATGGCTTCATTGCAGTTGCACGGAGTTAAAGCTCCAGGGCTTGGTTTATGTTCAAAGAGGCTTGAGTTTGGCTCAAAGGGGATTAGTTATTCGGTTACCCTGGCCTCGAGTTGTGCTGTCTTTAGAACCGTAGAGCATTCTTGTAGGAATATAGCTTTGAGAGTTAGTTGTGAAGCTGGAAGAGTCGATTTGATTGAAAGAAAACAGCCCGAGACGCGCAGTGTAAGCGGAACTGACAAGGAGTTGACATGTGTAATGAAATTCGGTGGCTCGTCAGTGGCATCAGCAGAGAGGATGAAAGAAGTTGCCAATCTTATACTCAGCTTTCCAGATGAGAGGCCCGTTATTGTGTTATCAGCAATGGGGAAGACAACTAATAAGCTTTTAAAGGTAATACAACAACGTTAATCTTTTCTACTTTTTTTTTTCTGATGGCGTTTCTGTTATCGGTAGAGTGAATTATTTTCTTTGGCTTTCATTAGGCTGGAGAGAAGGCTGTTACTTGCGGTGTCACTAACGTAGAAAGTATCGAAGAATTGAGCTTTATAAAGGAACTCCATTTAAGGTTAAAGAAAGCAATGTTTTTGTACATGTGTATTTAATTGCTATCGAGTGTTCACAGTCTAAATTCAGCATTATTCTCATGGGAAATAAATTTCTCTATGTCCAGAACTGCTCGTGAACTTGGAGTGGACCCAACGGTCATTGCAAGTAAGTGCCTTGGTTCTTCTTCTCAATGCTTGAATTATCGACCTTATCTCGGATTGCAGTTTCTGAATTTTGCTTTGCTCATTCAGTTAATTTTACGTATCTGAATCCACTTTCTGGTTTATCTATTTGTAGAACACCTAGAAGGACTACACCAGCTTCTGAAAGGCATATCAATGATGAAAGAGTTAACCTTACGTACAAGAGACTACTTGGTTTCATTTGGAGAGTGCATGTCCACAAGGCTTTTCTCTGCGTACCTCAATAAAATTGGCCACAAAGCGCGTCAAGTATGTTGCTTTATCATACCCTGGTTTAAGCGTAACCTTGAGATTTTATACGTAGCAGCGCTTGTCAGACAGATTAAAGAAACTTGATAGTGTGTCAGTGCTCACGGTTCTATGCTCTAACATGAATTTAATTCATGACTTGATGAGTTGTTTGCTTGTGGTTGGCAGTATGATGCGTTTGAGATCGGGTTTATCACCACAGACGACTTCACAAATGCTGATATACTTGAAGCAACATACCCTGCCGTCTCAAAAACACTACTTGGCAATTGGAGCAAGGAAAATGCAGTCCCTGTTGTTACTGGCTTCCTCGGAAAGGTTTATATTTCCCTGACTGTTTCACATCATGTTACTCTCGTGGATCAATAATTATGTAGTGCAAAACTCTGGTTCCCATCTATTCATTGCGCATGAGTTGTTTTGCTTACCGTATCAATTTTGAAAACAAATCTCACATATGTATGTGTTTCTGCAGGGATGGAGGTCTTGTGCTATAACTACATTGGGTAGGGGTGGTAGTGATTTGACGGCCACAACGATTGGGAAAGCGTTAGGACTGCGGGAGATTCAGGTAATTGATGGGTTTAGCCAAGATTGCATCATGAAGATGGAATTTTGTGAAGGAAAGATATATATGTTTGATATGGTGCAGGTTTGGAAAGATGTAGATGGAGTTTTGACTTGTGATCCTAACATATATGCTGGAGCTCAATCTGTTCCATACTTAACTTTCGATGAGGCTGCGGAGCTTGCTTACTTTGGTGCCCAGGTAATCTCGTAGATTATTTACGCTGATGACTTCTCTCTATCTGATGGCTGAGCATATTCCTCTTCCATTGTTAGGTGTTGCATCCACTGTCCATGAGGCCAGCAAGAGATGGCGACATACCTGTGAGGGTTAAGAACTCGTATAACCCCATTGCTCCAGGAACTGTCATCACCAGATCAAGAGACATGAGTAAGGTTCGTGAAACAAGAGTGTTTTAAAACTCATTAGATCAGAACATCATTGACCTCTTCTTCCTCCTTTATACATTATTTTGTAGGCCGTGCTGACAAGCATTGTTCTGAAACGTAATGTGACAATGTTGGACATAGCAAGCACCCGTATGCTTGGCCAATATGGTTTCCTTGCGAAGGTAATATCATTGTAAAATGATATCTTTATTCGACTTTGTTTAATATCTCACTGGAAACATACATACTGTCCGTGTACAGGTGTTTACCACATTTGAAGATTTAGGCATATCGGTGGATGTTGTGGCAACAAGTGAAGTTAGTATATCTTTGACATTGGATCCAGCAAAGCTATGGGGTAGAGAGTTGATTCAGCGGGCAAACGTAAAGACTCCTTTTACGTTGATAGATATTTCATCGTGTGAGAGTCGTATGTAATATTGGTGGGTGTGAACAGGAATTGGATCATGTGGTAGAGGAGCTAGAGAAGATTGCTGTTGTGAAACTGCTTCAGCGCAGATCAATCATCTCCCTCATTGGAAATGTTCAGAAATCCTCACTCATATTAGAAAAGGTGTCTTGACTTGTGTTCCTCTTTTGATTTTGAAAATTGTGATTACTTAGCGGTTTAGTTAATGGGGATGGTATGAATATCAAAATCAGGTGTTCCAAGTACTTAGAAGGAATGGAGTGAATGTGCAAATGATCTCGCAGGGTGCATCTAAGGTTTGAAAATCTTAACGCTACTTGTTATAAATCAATGAGTTATGGTATTAATTGTTATGGTTTTTATAATGAATGGAGAGATGTGTATGCGTTTGTGTCAGGTAAACATCTCATTGATAGTGAATGATGAAGAGGCAGAGCAATGTGTGAGAGCTCTCCACATCGCCTTCTTTGAGACCGCTTCTTAATGCAACACAGATATTTGATCTCATAGTTTGATGTCTTGGAACCAAACTTCACATTCTTGTTCTTGTTGTTGTAGTATTTGTGATACAATAACATAATTTGAGCCAAACCCTATTCATAAAAAATATCTTGCAACTTACTACAAACATGACTTAACGGTCAACACAAATTTTATTCAATTTAGAAAAGAAGAAAAAAAGGAATGTGGAAAAGTGGGGCTTTATTTGAATTGAAGGTGCTTTGAATGAAAAACATAGCATTTTTTTAAATATTCCGAAAATACCCTTGTACAAAAGCATATAACTACTTCTCATGGGTTATATTCGACCGGTCAACAAAAAATACACATCTGATGACATTTGTTACGTAAGGTCTTCTGTAACATAAGAGCATATGGGTTCTTAAACAGTTTTTAAAATATAAAATTATTAAAATTTGAGTAAAAGAAAAAAAGAATGTTTTTATGGGGTGTATTGAAATATAAAATTTGAGTAAAGAGAGGAGATAGTAGGTGTGTTTAAATATAAAATTAATAAAAGTTGAGTAAAAGAAAAAGAGAGTGTTCTTAAAGTAGTACTTTTAGATAGTGTTCTCAAAATGAAGTGAGAGTGTTTAAATATAAAATTAATAAAAGTTGAGTAAAAAGAAGAGAGAGTGCTTAAATAAGAACGGAAGAGAGAGTGCTTAAATAAGAACTTTTGGAGAGTATTTTTAAAATAATGAGATAGTGTTTAAATATAAAATTTATAAAAGTTGAGTAAAATGATGGAAGAGTAAGTAAAAAATTGAGTAAAAGTAAGAGAGAGTGTGTGTTTTAATAATTTTATATTTAAGAATTTGGGTTAAGAACTTGAATTGATTATGCTCTAACGACCTTCAAATAAATAAATGGTCCGACAACCTAAATCCCTCAAGATTGTTTTATTTGTTATTTTTTTGTAATTTAATTACCTTAAGGCATAAGATTTAGTCCAAAATGAATCAGCTTTAGTTATACACCAAATCTAAAATGAAGGGACATATAACTCTTGTGACTGACTTAAACCTCATCCATGACCTAATAAGCCTCCTTTCTTTTATTTAACCAAAAAAAAAGATCAGAAATGTGATTCGATATAGATGAGAAACATTAATAATCTAGGAAAGATTTATTCATATATAAAAAGATGAGAGGTGATGACTCTATATTGCAGATTAGTACTTACATATTTCATAACAAGTTGTTTGTCCTGACCACTAAAATATTTGTATTTTAGCTTTTTGAATTTGGAAGGGGTTGGTCAAACATGAGAAAAACAAGAAGGCAAAATTTGCAGATAAAAAAGGTAGAAGCATGCATTGAAGCCAAAAATGCATGTGACCAACTTTGTAAAATTTTAACTTTTTTCAGGCTTTTAGTGAGCTTATCTACAAACTAGTTTATATATATGAATCCTAACAGATTTTTTTATTTAATAGAACTTCCAACATTTAATAATCATTTATATATAAAGAAAACAGATGGTGGCAAGAACACATGTGGCAACTTGTAGTTTCCATACATCAAGAACACTGGCATTCTGATGGTAGCAAGAAATTTTTGGTTGAAACTATACAGTTAATACTGTCTTTTTTTTTTTAAGAAAAGCTGATCATTCCAAGAATATTTTTTTTTGTTGCTAAACTAATTCCAAGAATATTGACGACTCCTTTATTTATTTTTATAAACATTGCTCCTATTTTCTATATATCCCATTGGGCCAATTAAGAATAAAATGATTATACGAAATTCGATCTTGATTACAAAAAAATATTCCAACTCACATATACACATATGTCTAGCTAATAGCTATATATTTGTGGGATGCTCTAGATGGATTACATTCCAAGAAAAATATTCCACTTCCTTTTACGATTATATATATAATGATATTATAAGTAGCTTGCTTATAGAGATTTTTTTAATAACGACTGTTTTATAGAGGATTTAAGCATAAAGTGAAAAAAAATGGAATAATAATGGAAAACCACCGGCCAATATCCAAACATTCGACCTCATCTAAATGTTACGACTTGCTCACATAATGTTAGCAGCATAAAAAATTCTTATTCGGCGCGTCTCCATAAATTATACTATAACTCATATTTCTTATTCATTTATAACTTTTGGACCATTTTTTTTTTCTTTTTGATGTTGGACCAATTTTGCAGACAAATTAAGTTAATTAACTAGTAGTGTAAAAACTATGTAAGATATTATTACGGTAATAGCCGACGAGACGGCTAGATATCTATTACCAACAATTCTCTTATATAGTTTTTCAAAAAAAAAAAATTATCTTATATATTTAAAAAAAAAAATTCTCTTATATGGTTTTTC